CTATTTGAGGTAGTGAACAACTGGATGGAAGACATCTCTCTCTCTGCCTCTGTCTCTCTGTAACTCTGCATTTCAAATAAATAAATAAATCTTACAAATAAATAAATAAATCTTAAAATTCTAGGAAACATGCTAGCAACTTAATGGTGAAAGGATAAATCAGTTTCTAGTGCTACAGGCCTTGCAGTCTGGTGGTTAGAGACAGACAGGATGTAAGAATGAGGAGAGCAAGGGCTGCCCTATGGCAGTGATGCCTGGTGGCTGGTGCTCTGGGAGTGCCTCCCTGTAGCCTGAAGGTCACTGGTGGACACCATGACTGGGCTGGGGCAGCAGCTCAGTGCAGAGGAGCCTGCCATGGTTTGAACAGAATTTGGCTCCCAAGCCTGTAGATGTTTAAATCCCAAAGTGGTGGGTTGGTGGTGCTAGGAGGTGGGGGCTTGATCTAATTATGGTGCTTAGAAGGTTTAGGTCACTGGGGGTGTACCCCTGGAAGGTAGTTCTCATGAGAGCATATTATAGAAGTCAAGCTGGGCCTAGCCACTTGCTCTGCTTCCAGCTTACTGTGTGATCTTTCCTCTGTCGATTTTCTATCATTGCCAGTCTGCAGCCTCACCAATATGGCCAAGTCAATGGGGCCTGTCTAGACAGTAAGCCTCCAAACCATTAGCCAAAACCTCCTTTCCCCTTTTTCTAGTAGCTGGGCCTCGGTATTGCAGCACCATAATGAAAAGCTGCCTAATTCAGAGTTCAACAGAAAAAGGTACAAGACGAAGGACGGTTGAGAAACAAGACAAAGCAGGTGGAGGAACAGCAGGTGCGAGGGTCCTGCACTCAGACACAGCACAATACATTCAGAAGACTGAAAGAAAGCCAGAGCGGCCAACATGCTGAGAACAGTGAGGAGGTGGTGCAGGATGAGGCTGGAGTGTAGCCGGACCTGAAGGGCTGTGATAAGGAACAGGATCTTTATCTTCAAGGGGATAAAAGGACAATCCTCAGCCGGAAAGTGACCTCTCAGGTGGTTGGGCTACCCCTGAAGCTGATTTTTAGTACAGACATGGAAGGCATTCCATGCAAGGCAATTTCCTTGTAAGAAAATGGACTCAAAAGAAGGTTCATTTAAATCCTGTCTCAGTTCCTATCTCCTCCACCCACCCCCAGTCAGGGATGTGGCGTGGGCCATCCTTAGAACGTGGGGTTAGCCAGGGTGTGTGCGAAGCTGCTTCTCTTGTGACACTCTCTGAGTGCCTCCTACGTATGAGTGGGGCTGGTTACGGAAATGCACTGGGGCAGTGAGTGCCTCCTGCTTCTGCCTCGCCGGTACCCAGTCCCTGGCAACAGGTCCTTGATGGTCCTTTGGGGAACCCCACTGCTGCCCCTCCCACCCCTTTTGAGTGTGGCTGGGGCCAATTCCATCTCATACTCTCCGGGGCTGAGTAGGATCCACTCAGGCCAAAGGATGTGTCCCATCGCTTCAGGCCTGGCTCAGGGAGAGCTCAAGAGCTGGCCTCATCCACTGAGTCTCAATTCTAGCACCTCTTGTGGAATGAGGAAACACCTTCCTTTCTTCTGGGATTATCTCATTCTACAATGAGATATGCAGGCTACCACAGGCCAGCAAGAAGAGAAAGTCTGTTTGCTTGAGGTTGAAGCCAAATGTCCAAGGAACTGGAACTGAGAGACAGAGACAGAGACAGAGCGATTTCCATTTGCTCGTTCACTCTCTAGATGCCTGCAACAGCTGGGGCCCAAACCAGGAGCTGGAAACTCAATCCATGTCTCCTACGTGGGTGGCAGGAGCCTAGCTACTTGAACCATCAGCACTGCCTCCCAGGGTCTGCATTAGCAGGAAGCTGGAGGCAGGAGTCAGAGCTGGGAATTGAACTCAGGTGCTCCGGAGTGGAGTATCTGTGTCTTTTTTTTTTTTTTTTTTTTGATAGGCAGAGTGGACAGTGAGAGAGAGAGACAGAGAGAAAGGTCTTCCTTTTCTGTTGGTTCCCCCTCCAATGGCTGCTGCGGGGTTGGGAAGTTGGGAGCAAAAAAATAAAAAAGCAAAAGGGCGAAGCTGAAGATTCTAAAGAGAAACTGTTCTTTCTCCTTTTTCTTCCCAGTGTGCAGCCTACCCATCTGTCTCTGCGATTTTCTTCCTCTTCTGGGGTGTGTAGTCCACGGGACACCGAAATTCCAGTGCCACAGTGCACAGCATGAACGATGCCTTGACAGCTGGCCAACATTCAGCATTGACGTCCTGGAGGAACCAGCAGTTCCAGTCAAGTCGCTTTCCTTCATTCGTTCAGCAAGTGCGGGTTCAGCACTGGCTGGGTGTTCAGGATGCAGACATGGACATGACAGAAGCCGCTGTTTCTACCTGTATCATGAAACGATTAGGTTCTCTGTCTAATTAGACTGTTTGGGGTAAAAAAAGAAGTGTTTCGGTTCATTTAGGCTGGTGGGAGCTGCTCTGTGTGTGTGTGTGTGTGCATGTGCGTGCATGCTTACCTGTGTGAAATATTGAAGGTACAAAGAAATCAGCTAGTCTTTGCGGGGGGGTGTTGCTATATCTAATTCTGATTATTTTGAAAGGTTAAGTTACCCTGAGTGAACGGAGTCATTACTCACGGTGCAATTCGAGCCACTATCTCCTTATTTCCTGTTGTCATAAATTTATAAACCTTTTTTTATTTAGGTGAGACTATAGTCTCTTC